TTAAGAGGTAAAGAATTAAGTACTATTACTTATAAAAACTCTAGAGATAGTTTAAGAAGTCTAGTTCTAGATAAATATTCTAAACTCTTTAGAATCGAAACTACCTATTATAAATCTAGTAATATAAGTAGAAAAAGTAAAGCTAGTATAAGATTCCTACCTAGAAATCTAACTAATACTTTACTTATCTATTTATTAATTATAGATCCTTTTATAGAGTTTATAAGGATAACTTACTTTAAAAGAGAGACTTTACCTATACCTAATTTACTAGTAACTAGTAAAAATATACCTATCTCTAGTATTACTCTATCTAATTTACTTAAAGAAGTATCTAGTAAGATATTAAGTAAAGGACTTACTATTAAACCTTATAGACAGCTTATATCTCGGATTATTAAAACTAGACTTAACTATAATATAGATATAAGCTCTAGCGAAAACGAAGATTTAATAGAAGATAAAATGTCTAATAGATCTACTAAAACTAGCTATAATAATTATAGTAGAGATATAAATCTAGGAAAATCTATTAATTTAGATACTTTAGAGCAATCTAAGAATTTTTGCTTAGCCTATTTTAAATTCTTTTCTATAGATAATTATAGTCTAGAAACTACTAGTAAAGACCTAGAATTAACTATACCTAAGTCTAGTATAGACTATACTCTAGAAAATACTTTGACTATAGAAAATAATCTAGCTATTAAAGAAAATAGCTTAGAGTATTACTTAAAAGAGTACTTTAATAATCCTAAAGCCGAATTTAGAGACTTAGAGCAAAAAAAGGCTATTATATCTATTATTAAGAATAATCCTTATACTACTTATATTAATAGAACTAGTAGCGGAAAAAGCCTACTATTTTTATTACCTAGTTATATTTATAAAGATAGAACTTATATAGTTATAACTCCTAGAGTTTCTTTAAAAGAGGACTTATATAATAAGGCTATAACTAGAGGTATTAAAGCTTCTATTTTAGAAGAAAACTTAGACTATAGCTCTACTTTAATATTTATATCTTTAGAATCTATATTAAGTAATACTTTAGAGACTCTTATAAATTCTTTAAAAGATCTAAATAAGGAGATTACTATATTTCTAGACGAAATCCATCTATTTTTACTAGAAAAAACATATAGAAAGATCCTTAGATTTATATCTAGTATTAGAAAGTTTAAAGTATCTTTAGTATTTATTAGTGCTACTTTACCTAAAGAATTAGCTACTTTACTTACTAAAGAGTTTAATATTACTAAAGGATATAATCTTATAAGAGCTAGTACTAGTAGATCTAATATTAGTTATAGACTAAACCCTATACCTAAAGACTCTAGTTTAATAGAAACTATAAAAGACTTATTAAATAAGACTCTAGGTTTTAAACTTACAAAGGATAATAAGTGCTTAATATTTATAAATAGCGAAAAGGAAGGTTTATACCTTAGTAAAGAATTAGATATAGACTTTTATTATAGTAAATCTAGTAATAAAGATACTATTTTAAAGGAATTTCTAGAAAATCCTTATAAAAAAGTTATATTAACTACTTCTATATTAGAAGTAGGAGTAGACTTTAATATTATATCTTATATTATATATTTAGAACCTATTTTTAGCCTACTTAGTATAGTACAATCTATAGGTAGGATTAGAAATAAAGGTATAGGATTTATAATATATAAAACTATACCTAAAGACCCTACTCTAAATATATTTAAACTATTTAGTAATAAAGAGTTAAATATAGAAGAGTTTATAGCTCTAGATAAGATTTATAGTAAATTACTATTAAGTAATACTAAATGTTTAAGATCTATTATTAATAGTTTCTTAGATAATACTATATCTACTAAATGTAATAGTAATATAGAAGAATTATGCTCTTTTTGCTATAATAAAGAAAGTATATTAAATACTACTTATAATCTAGAGCTAGAAAAAACTAGAGAGATAAATACTATTAGATCTAACTTAGAAACTAAATTATATTTATTAGGAAATACTTATTGCTTATATTGCCTATTAATTACTAAAGACCTTATAAACTATAATCATTCTTTAGAAGAATGTCCTAAGAAAGATAAAAACTTAATAAAAGCTTCTAAAGGGTTTAAAAGCTATTTAACTAAGAATAATCTATTAAAACCTAATTATAGTTGCTTTAATTGCTTATTACCTTATACCATATGCTCTAAACTAAAGGAACTATATAAACTAGAAGATAAATGCTTATATAATAGCCTAATATTTTATATATACTTACTATTATACCCTAGTATAGAATTATTTAAAGATATATTTAAAGACTATAATATAGACTCTAATACTACTAGAGAAGAGTACTTAAATATACTATTAAGTCCTATTACTTTTAATAATTTAGATACTATTAACTTAATAGAAATAATCTATAAAATAGATATATCTACTTTACTTAATAATATAGAAAACTTAGAATCTAGTTCTTCTAGTAATAATTCTAGTACTAGTTCTAATAGTATTAAAACTATAGAAAGTAAATCTATAAATCTAGAAAAAGGAAAAGAAAAAGTAATAGATCTAGATCTAGATCTAGAATCTAATATAAACTTAGATATAGAAGAAAAGAGTCTAGAACCTAAACTTAAGTCTAAATCTAGAGCTATATCTATTTCTAGTAATAGTTCTAGTAGTAGTCTTAATAGTAACTCTAGTAATAATAGTCTTTATAGACTAACTCCTACTAAAAGAGTAAACTCTAATTTAGACCTAAATATTCTTAACTTAGAAAATTCTAATTTAGAAAATCTAATTTTAGAAGACTCTAATACTAATAAGGCTTTACCTAAAGCTAGTAGTTCTTTAAATATACCTAATACCTTTAAAAGTAAAAGAGTCTTATCTATATCTAGTCTAGAAAACTCTAGTAACTCTAGTAACTCTATAAATACTAGTAAAAGTCCTATATCTAAAAGGGTTAGAATTATAAGTCCTATAAATTCTTCCTCTTCTTCTAGTATAGAATCTATAAGTTTAGAAGATATAAATCTAGAAGATAGCGATATTATAAGACTAGAAAAGGAAGCTTTTTTTAACTTTAATAAAAGAGTTAAAAGTAAAACCTTTACTAAACTTACTAGTATTTTAGTACTTAAACTTAAAAAATGTGCTTTATGCTCTAATTTAAATACTCCTAGTACTATAAATCATTATATTATAAACTGCCCTAATATAACTAACTACAATCCGACGAAGGAAGTGACTCAATTCCATTGAAACCCCGCCCGGCGTCGCTCGTCTTGGCACGTGGACAGGACTCAATTCCATTGAAACTTGGCACTCAATTCCTTTGAACTTAACACACTCTAATCCGGCCAAATTTCTGACAGAAAATAGAACATATTAATCCACTCGACCAACCAGAATTTCAAAAGCATAGAACCCCTAGTAGC